AGGAAAATGGGCAAGTGGATGCCTTTCTTCATGAAGGGCCTCTTTTTTTTACCACTGAAAGAAGTTAAAATGGCAAAACATCACTTATGTCTGGATAACCGCTCACTCTCTGTTGCTGTGTTTCAGGAGACCTGGGAAATGCTTGTTGGATGACCTGAGGATTCTGTGACTTCTCCACTGTCCCTTTCCCTGCCTTGCTGCCTGGTTTAAAGTTATGTTTTGGCTTGTGGCTTTTCAGTGTGAATTTGGTGTGAAGTAGTGTTGGTGCAAGTGTGTAAGTTCTTCCCCTAAGAAGCAAAAATGATTGCAGTTGTTGCTGCCCCGTCACTTCCATTAGTGGCTGTTGCTTTGAGTCTTGCAGAGAAGGTACCAGAGGAATTTAAAATGCTCTGTTACATCTAAGTTACCATGGCCTTTTTGTTTGTTTGGCCCAAGTTTATCGTGAAGATTCATAATCTGGAGGAATGGCTGCCAGCTTTTTCTCTGGGTTATTCTTTCTTTAGTAGAGAGACAGAGAGATTTCTAGGTATATTGCCTGATCTTGCTTTTCCTCCAGACAGTCAGATGTATTATGGTCTGTTGGGAGGGAAAGGTCTTTTCATGAAATCATTTTATAATGATTTCTCTGTTCATTTTTGTGGCTAACAGAAAACAAACGACAAAAAATTCCTAGCTTGATGACTGCAATGTTTTTATAAATGCCTGTATCTATGTGTGTTGAAAAAGGATTTGTCTCCATGCTTGATTCTTCTCTTTAAAGATTCAGATTAATCCTAAAAGTGTTTACTCCGATGTGATGAATTATAAGTGGATGAAATTACATTGTTGTCAGATTGACTCGTTGTCCTGCTTTGCTCCCCCAGTTGAGAACATTGACTTCCAGCTCTCAAGAGTTTGCTCACTTGAAGACCTGGGTTTTACACAGATGACATATCTCCCTTGTTAGAGGTCCAGAGGGGTTTGATAGCTGAGTTTTGAGTTGATGATCAAGCATAAGAGAAGAAAGAGACCAGGGGGTAGGTCAGCTGGAAGGGAAGGAAGAGCAATACCTATCTCTCTGACTTAAGTAAGTCAAGCTGCTTGCCAGAAAAGACTTGCAGTGTCATTAAGCGAGATAAGGAGAGTGGGGAATGTTTTGGGATCTATCAGCTGACAAGCAGTTCGAATTGCCCTGATGCCACGTAAAGCATTGCCCTGGCAGCTGGAGCATGTGGTGGTGAGAGATTATCTTGGCGTGACTGTATCTCTTAGGAAGTTGCTGCAGTTTAGTCTCCTGGTCTTTTATAATCAATAGTGAGACTGTCGCTTGGTGGCTAGAACATGCTGCACCCTGGTGTCTCCTTTCACTTTCTATAAAAGGGGAAAAATGATAACTGCTTCTCTGTAAGGCTTTTTCTAGTTCTGTGTTGGTAAATAATAGCATAATGATTATTAGAAGTAGGTTTTATTTTGTGGTCTTCTAAAACACTTTAATCTTAGGCAGAGGAGACTGTAGATGTGAGGGAGTTTGGCTAGGAGAACAGGATCTGCTTCTGAATATTTCTGCATAATTCTATGAAAGTTTTCATGGCAAAATGAAGAGGAAAATTATTCCCTGCTACTGAGTGTTTTACTACTGTTCCTTCCCAATAGCTAAAATAGCCTGAATGCCATGAGGGCTTCTTACTCACCCATAACTATGTTAATGCCTTTCTTGCACAAGGGTAGTTTCTCTCAGTAGAAAGCCAAAAAGTTGCACGCTGCATAGTGCATACCACAGACATTGACAACAAACTGCTAGTACAACTTCCCTGTGAAGATGAAGCAGTATTTACAAGGCTGCCTTACAAGATCCTTCCTTTCTGGGGAAAACTTTCAGTGGAAACTGGTTGCTGCGAAAGGAAAACCTGGTCTGATGGAAGTGTTTGGTTAGGTTTGGGTGCTTTGTGGTACCTTCAGGTGCACAGCATCTGTGAACTACTTGTGCCAAAAGTCTGTTTTCTTGCTCTGTTACTTTGATTTTTATGAAACTATGAAAATAGTTTAAATAGGCTGTGGGCATGGGGAGAGGATGGTCCTTCTCACAGACTTTGGCATTTCCCATTCTGATAATATGAGGGTCAGCTGTGTTTGGACACCATTTGGTGGCTAGCCTGCCTTACAAGTAACAGTTTGCTGTGCCTGCCATTTAACAGTTACCGCTTTAGATAAGACAGGAGAGATTGGCATCTTTGAATCCTGAAGAAATGAAAGTAAGATCTTGTCTTAAATTCCTGATGAGAACCTAAAGTAAGGTTGACTTGACAGTAACATGGGATTGCAGACTGGGGTTGGGGGAGGAAGAGGGGCATCTTATCTGCTCTTCACAGACAAGAGCCTGTCATTGTCTGTCTGGGTGACTTTAACAGAGATTAAGGAAAACAACGTGTATGATTCCATGAGCAGAAACAAGCACATTCCCTTGGTAAGAAGTGTTCAGAAAGTTTGTCATGGGGTCCTGTGTAATGCCACGGTTCTGCTGCTGTGGAATCAGTCTCGTAAAGCCATGGCCCAGGCTCAGGAGAGCCCTTCCTGGTCGTGGTGTTTTAACACTTGCACAGAGCGGGCCAAAGAATTTTCTGTGCAAACTTCAAATACATGTATATTAAGGCACAGAGGCTGTTCTCCTGGTTTACATTTCTGAATTTAAGCTTTTCCCTTGCAACTTCGTTGAACTCTAATATAAATGCAGCTTTGTAAAATGATTTCGTTGCTGGGGAGAAAGATACTCGTATGCGCCTATGGCACCTGGAATAGTGATAGGAGGAGGCGTGTGGGCTAGCACAGGCATCTTAACCGCTGCTTTCTAGCCCTGTTAAATGCCTACAACTGATCTGAAGTAACACTTAGATTGCATGTCATAGCTCTGAAAAATATACAGTTTTCCCTGTGTAAAAATTGTTAAGCTAGAAATTTTACTGCACTGCTGGGAGAAGTGAGCCATCACTCCTTCAGCTCCTTGTGCTGTTGGCTTTGGAACTTGGGGATGACAAACATTGGCACAAGCACTTGTTTTGTGACAGAAACATCCATTATACTTACACTTTGCCTCCTGGACACCTTTTGGTACATTGTAAGAAAAGGCTGCCCTCATCTCTCCAAGGTGCTGTAGCTTTTTTCCTCTGATGATTTCTGCTGCGGTTGTGATTGCCAATAGCGAAATTGTTGGCAGATTGAAAAATGTGGGGGCAATGTCAAATGAACTGTCGTTTCAAAATGCACACAGGAGACCCTGCTGATTTGGTTGTATCGCTTTGTATTTATTCTTAATTTCTAAAAGTTGTGACTTTTTTTTTTTTCGTAAATTGGAACAGAGCAGCCACAGAATCAACTGATTGCTGCCCTTTCAAGCAACAACAGTCAAGGTTAAGCTCATGTCATGAAAGGCTGTCTGGGCTTTGTCATCTTTAAAAACAGCCAGGAGTTGACCAAAGCCAGAAAAAAGTCGCACTTGTAGCCGTGTTCTAGTTCCACAGAGATCTGTGCAAACTGTTGAGCTTGTGGAGGAATAACAACCGTATTTATTTCTTGAATAGCACCAAGAATGATCGTTTTCTCTGAGTTTTCTCCTTTAACTTCCTTGGCGGCAGGGGCATGTGGTGTCTGTGGTGCAGCAAGGGCTTGCAAGGGCTTCATGGCAGCTGATCGGAGTCTGACAAGGCCATGCAGAGACAGGGCAGCAATGTGAGCTCAGCGTGAAATGGGGCCAGCCGGGTGGGAAGAAAGCTCTTCTCTTACATGTAAAAGAGTTAATTGTGGTTTGGGGAATGGAAACAGTTTCCTGAAGCTGAGCGCTAGTCGAATGCGAAGCACTGTGCAGCTACACAACAGCTTTTTTAGCTGATTATCTCTCTTTTCACCTCAAACTGAAGACAGAGTGGAAAAAAGAATGTTTTGCTTTGCGTCTTCCACGTGCAGTTCAGTACCACTTTTTTTTCGTTTGGTGGTTTGGGTTTTTTTTCCCCCTCCTGTCTCCTTTCTCCCATATCTCCATTCTCCAAACTGCCAACTACATCTACTGCTTGTGTTTGTCTGAAGTGGGAAGATTTCGAAGCACAGAAGCTTTGCCAAAATTTTTTTGTGTTTTTTATCCAAGCTAACTTCTATTTCTGTGGTTTACTTGGGGCTACATATTTGTCTGTATGGAGATGATGATCAGAGTGGAAAATACGGGCATTTCGTATTTGGCCTAGCAATTACTTCTCATTCTGTAGAAAATAAAACAAACATAGAAGTCCTGCTTACTCTCAAAATATCTGGTGGTCAGACCTCTTTTGCAGAAGCTCCCTGTTGATCTTTTTTGTAATTGACTGATAACAAGTGGGTTTATTCCCTTGCGCAACACTTCTCAAAAAAAAAAAAAAAAAAGGCAGAAAGCATTGTGTTTGTCTGTTCGTCTTTTCTTCTGTTGTTCATCTTTTGTTCCTTTCTGGTGAAATAGTTTTCTTTCTCCCATTTCTGCTATTTTATACAGGCTGAATGGCTAACTGTATTTGTAAAGTGCCTCTGGCAGAAGAGTTTAGGCACCTCTGTTCTTGCATTTCTGCTAATTGAAATGGAAAGAGAGACCATGCTTGTATTTCTGGCTGGCTGTGTTGGGTCATTATTCAAGGGGCAAGATGAGAAAGGGGGCTGCTGTTGAAGAACTCCAGAAGATTTGCCCAAATTTGCTGTTAATGGGATAGAATGTTTTTTCCCCTCCCTTCTCTGTCTTGCTCTTTTCCGTTCTCTTTGGTTTGCGGGACTGTTTCAGTCACCTTGCAGTGCATGTCCATGTCACAACCTGACACTGTGGGGAACTGCTAGTCCGAGGCTGACTCTTTGCTTTTGCTGCAGGCTGAGTCCTTGGGTTTGAAGACTCGTTGACATCGCTGAGATTGACGCTTGGACCTTCAAGAGAAGGGACTTTCTGACGGCTCTGCCCCACTCCACCTGACCCTATGACTGGAGGGCTCACCGTAGCTCTGTCCTTTGCTCTCCAGTTCCACAAGATGGGTTCGTTCAGAAGGCCCCGGCCTCGCTTCATGAGCTCCCCAGTCCTCAGTGACCTGCCGCGGTTCCAAGCGGCCCGGCAGGCTCTACAGCTCAGTTCCAACTCTGCCTGGAACAGGTGAGCGGGACCCGCCCAGGCTGAGCACTCACTCTGCAGCAGCCCCACGATAAGGGCCCTGCGGGTCTGATCTTTGTGCTTCAGACCATTTATGGCTAAGCTTGCCTGTCTAAAAGCGTGCATGAATTGTTGGCATGCCCAAGCTTTGCCAGCACTGAAAGCCACCGTGGAGATCAAAATATCAGTGTTCAGCCTTGGTTTTGGCCAACATTGTTCAGAGGTACTGTTGTGAGGTAAAATTGCTCTTTGTCAACAGTTGCATCTTTTAAGTACCATTTAGGAAAACACATTCCTAGTACTGTAATAAAGGTCAGTTTCTTAATGCGTAACAGGCATTTATTTGCTTATTATGAAGCTTTTACCACAGTCATGTTCTTCTGACAACTGCTAAGCTTGTGGCTTCTACCAGCATTTCCTATTGACAGCCAAATCCTGCCTGCAGTGATCTCATGCAGCAATGGCAGCTAGAAAAACAATGTGTAGGGTGGAGAGTGAGATGTCCTGATCTGATCTAATGGTCTGCTGCTACCAAAAGTGGGTGTTCCCACCTTCCCTTCTGCCATCTTGCACTGGCCCTGCCCTCTGCAGGCCCCTCTCTCTTGCTGACCTAGCTAAGCACAAAAGTAGCCCGGCAAAAACATCACCGTTTTGTGCCAGAATAGTGAGCTGATATTTGTGAAGTGCACCAGTGCCATGACTGGCCCGCAGAAGGGAATGCCCATTAGAGGAGTGACACTTCCTCTTGTTAGCTGTGAAAAGCCTTTAGACCTGCTAAACCATCTTGTGCGCTGTCACTTTATGACTTCCTCTGTGCTGATGAGAGAAGTATGAGTTACAAGATCCTCCAACAGCATTTTACAAGCATTAACGGGGCTTAAAGCTGGGTCTGACTCAGGTGATGCTGGCCATAAAACATCTTCCATCACAGCCAGGGTCCTGTCAGACGCTGCAGATGGGGTGGTTCTTGCTAACATCACTGGGCAGTGCAATGTGATGTGTTTGGCAGATATTGCCAAAAATCGGTGTCTCCTCATAGCAACTAGCCTGCAGCACACAGCAGAGGTCCCCTAAACAGTCGTGTTAAAGATATATCCGATGTGAATGTGTTCCTCATGAACAGTGTCCCTGTAAGGACTTTCCCTCACTTACTCTAGGCGCAACTTGAAGTTGGTTCTGCTCTTTCTCCCATGAGAGATGTGGGTAAATACAAGTGATGATTTCCAGGGGAGAAAGAGTGGAAGTATTTAAGTGCAATTAACCTCTCCACCCTGTTATGAGCATTCAGCTTTAGGCGGCTAGCTCACATTGCTCTCTGTGGTAAATCATGCTGGTGGCTGTTATTTATGGATGTTGTACTGTCTTGCTTCTTTTTTTGGCAGTGTTCAAACGGCAGTGATAAATGTGTTCAAAGGGGGAGGCTTGCAGAACAATGAACTTTACACCCTCAACGAAAATATCAGGTAGGTCGCTGAAATGCATAAAAAGGGATTTTTGTTACTGTTTGTTTGGTGTTTGCTTGGTTTTGTTCCCCTGCAGAACTGCAGTTAGAGGATATTTGTGGGAGGAGTAGGGATTGAAGCGAACTTAGGCACAGCTTTGGGTTTTCAGGCTAACTTACTTCTTTTTTGCTATTGGGTGGAGTGAATGGCACTTGGATAACGTTTCCCTGACTTGTGTGGATGTGTAGCTTTGCCAAGGACAGGACATGTATTGACCCAGATTATAAGGATTTTGTCCCCTCCTAGGGACTTTGCCTCTTCTGGCTGTTTTTTACACATTTTTGCCAGGGCATTCGTGGTGGTAGTAACATTTCTTTTCTAAACTCAAGCTTCTTAGAACCGTGAAGTGTTTAAAATGAAAGCAAAACACAGCATTTAATTTAAAAGCTCAGTCTTCCCATGATGATTGCAGAGCAAGACCTACAAATATAAAAACCTAAAAGCCTAGCACACATTTGCTAGTGATGATTAAAAGTATCGCTTTAATTTTAAACAGGTTTCATGATTATCTGTGGTTTCATTCTGATTATTTGGAAAGTTTGGTTAGCAATAGATAGGACTGTAGAGTAGATGAAGAACAACTTATCCTTGCTGTGGTTGCAAGTGCTGCTAAGCAGAGTATTGTCAGAGCTCGTGGATGTGGTTCCTCCTCCCTCCCTCTCTCTTTCCCACTACATCCATATTCATTCATCAGGAGTGCTGCCATATAGGTCTCCGCTTCTCCTTTTATATGCCCCCCTCCATCCCTATTGCATTTTTCCTGAGTGCCAAGATTCAAATGGCAGTTTGGGCTAAGCACATGCCAAGCAGCAGTCTAAACTACCCCTTT